ATATATATATATATATATATATAATACAGCACAATTTGTCTTTGCAAAAGTTAATGATGACACAGAGAAATGTGTCATCATTTTTACTACCAAAATAAATAGCCTGGGACTTATGCCTCTATGCCCAGCCTAAATGCTTATATGACATTGTGAATTTTGGCTTGGCACAATTCTACACACCTGTAATTCCAGTTACTCAGGAGGCTGAGGCAGGAGGATCACAAGTTTGAGGCCAGCTTGGGCAATTTAGTGAGACCTGGTCTCAAAATTTAAAAAATGAAAAAAAATGAAAAGGGCTAGAAAATACAATGTTCCAGGTTTAATCCTTAATACTGCAAAAATTTAAAAAATTAAAATTAAAAACTGTGAATTTTTACAGTATGTGAATTATATCTCAATTAAAAAAATTGCTAAAAACGAAAAAAGACCACAGAATATATGAACAAATATTCTATAGTCACAGACTACAACTAAAGCCTGCCTGGCTAGACTGGTTTAAAATAATAAGGCTTTTAAATAAGCAAGTTATGTCCCTTAAAAAATTTTAAAAGAAAAATGGTTATATAGGTTCATCCAAATGTTAGAAAATTTAGTAGAAAACAAAAAAAAACTATCCATAGGCATACTCCCCCAAATCAAGTATCAGCAACACAGCATAACAAATACGTTAAATGGTTCTTACCATTCCAATAGGCAAAATTGGTTCCACCTATAAACATGTACCTACAAAGAAAAAAAGAGAACACATAGTATTTCACTGTGAGCCCACAGCTAGGAGGGCTTCCTCCACACCTTGGGCCCTGAATACATACAAGTTCACACTCGCCCCATGGGCCAGTATTTCATAGAGGGAGGAAGCCAGTACTTCTGTCTTGACTGTGGAGTGAGGCTGACCCCAATGGTCTAACCAGCCAGTATAGAATTCAGAATTGACCTAAAAAGAGAAAAAGACACGGAGCTCAGGCCAGGCGAATGGCCTTCAAAGGCCAAATTGTCCCTGTAATGTCCCATCTACTCCACCAAGGTCCAGTGCAAAGGGGTGTTGATGGGTACCATTTAACCCAGAGCCAACAGCAATACTGCCTGTACTCAGTCCTCAGGTGTCAACCCAATCTGAGATCTCATCTTACATAATAAAGTACAGTCAGCCCTCTGTACCCCGTGGGTCCTGCGTCTGTGGATATACTAACTGTAGATCAAAAATGATAGGGGGGGAAAAAAAAACTCCATCTGTGCTGAACGTATGGATTTTTTCTTATTCTCTAATATGGTACAACAACTATTTATATAGCATTTACATTGTATTAGGTATTAGTAAACTCAAGATTATTTAATGTAGGAGGGTATGTGTAGGTCATATGAAAATACTGCCTTCATCCAGTATGTTGTATAAGCAGCTGAGATTTGAGATCTGAGGGGGAGTCCTAGAACCCATGAACTGTATCCCCAAAGGACATTGAGAAACAACTGTATTCCTAAAAAGTTTAATCTACATCAATTTTGTTAACCATTCCCCAATTCCACAGTATTAAAGTTTAGTTGGGCAAAGAATCTGGCAAAATATTCTTATAAAATAGCTCCAAATTCATCCTTTGTGTGCCTAAAGATATTGAGATCTCAGGTTGACTTTACAATGAGGTAGACTTGTACAAATATTCTAATTAAAATTTTTTTTTTCTTAGTTGTAGTTGGACACAATACCTTTATTTTTTTAAATTTATTTTTACGTGGTGAGGATCGAACCCAGCAACTCACAAGTGAGGGTTGAGCGCTCCACCGCTGAGCCACAACCCCAGCCCCACCTTGTACAAATATTCTACAAAGCAGGTCCAAACACTTCATGTTTCTCGTAAGCATTACTCTGCCAAGCCCTTGTTCTACAAAGAAATAAAGGACGCTGGACGCTGGATTTTGGGAAATGGCTCCACCCAAAGTCTGTGAATGCAGCCCCTGCACACTCACTAAGCAGAGAGCAGACTCAGAAAAGGCTGTTTTGTAAATAAGGCTTGCACACAGGTGGGGCAGTCTGACCTGTGGCAGAACAGGCACAGGATGTGACCCTGTACACGGAGCTGAGTCAACAATAACAACTACTGTTGAAAAAGGAAGAGCAGAGAGAGAAGCGCTGACAGATATGTACACCCGCCTGGTCCTTGCCATCATTTCCTCCTCCTAGCAGTCCCCATAGCATGCCATCAAGTCCTGCAACTCAAAGTGTGGTCAGCAAACGACATCCTCCATGCTGCCAGGACAGTTGTTGGAAATGCAGACTCTCAAGCTCCACCTAGACCTAGCAGACTGAACTTGTTTTTTTTTTTTTTGGCGGCACCAGGGATTAAACCCAGTGGCACTCAACCACTAAGCCACATCCCCAGCATGTATGTATGTGTATGTATGTGTGTGTGTGTGTGTGTGTGTGTGTATATATATATATATATAAATAAAATTTTTTTTTGGTAGTTGTAGATGGACAGCTTGCCTTTATTTTATTTGTTCATTTTTATGTGGTGCTAAGGATTGAACCCAGTGCCTCACACATGCTAGGCAAGTACTCTGCCACTGAGCTACAGTCTCAGTCCCTCCCCAGCCCTTTTTTATATTTTATTTAGAGACAGGGTCTCACTGAGTTGCTTAGGGTCTCGCTAAGTTGCTGAGGTTGGCTTTGAACTCGAGATCCTCCTGCCAAAGCCTCCAGAGCCGCTGGGATTCAGGCGTGCGCCATCATGTCTGGCTGAACTTTGCTTTTCAATCAGATCCCCAAGTAATTGGTGAACACTTGAAAGGTAGAGAAGTTCTGCAGCAGAGCTTTCAAAAAACACACTAGCTCTGGCCCAGCCACTTGGAGGCTGTACCACCAGGGGCAAGTGACATATGTTCCCTGAGCCTCACCGAAAAAGGAGACAACAGGACCATTTATGGGAATTCCCTTGGCCATTCACGTTAGCTGGCGTTCCCTTCCACTCCAGCGCAGGGCCTCAGTTTCCAAGCACTGTTTCTGGCTGTCACCCACGAATCCAGAGGGATAACACTACAATCCCATCTGGTGCTACACCTTTCCTACAGCGGCACGACACCCTCCCTCTCGACAGCTGAGATGGAGTTGGTATGAGATGACAGTCTCCAAACCTCAACCCTGATTCTTACCAAGGGTCCATTGGGCTCCACTTTCCTCTGAGTTTGGAAATCAGCTGTGACATTGCTGCCTGGAAATAATGAGAGGGAAAAGAAAAGTCAGTCATGGGAATGATAAGAAGTTAAATAACAAATGCCTTGAGCCTGAGGCCCTGCTGAAGTCTGAATGTTGGTATCCCTCCAAAATTCCTAAGTTGGAATCCAATCTCCAGGATAAAGGTGTTAAGAGGTGGGGCCTGTAGGAAATGGCTAAGTCATGAGTGCACCTCATGAATGGGATTTAGGGCCCTTATGAAAGAGGCTCAAGGGAGCACTGCCCCTTCTATCATGTGAGGACACAGTATGAAAGTAAAGCTAGCGTGGTGGTGCACACCTGTAATCCCAATGACTCGGGAAGTTGACGCAGGAGATTCTCAAGTTCAAGGCCAAACTTGGAAACTTAGGGAGACCCTATCTCAAAGTAGTTTCAAAAGGGGCTGAAGATATAGCTCAGAGGTAGATCACTCATCTAGCAATCCCTAGTACCACACACACACACGCAAAAGTGACATCACTGAAGCAGAGACTGGATCCTCACTAGACACTGAATCAGCTGGCACCTTGATCTTGCACTTCCAGTTTCCAGAACTATGAGCAATAAATCACTATTGTTGATAAATGACCTAGTCTAAGGAATTTTGTTATAACAGCCCAAACTGATGGAGACAGGCCTCCTGCCCTTCTCCACACCCTCATGGGCCTAGAACACTCTCCAAACTGGCTTTAGGCTGGACTCCGATCATCCATTAAAAGGTATGTGGGGGCCAGAGAACATTGCTTCTTCGCCGAGCAGGTCCTGTGGTCTCCCTTGACCACTTGCCTTAGGCCTTCCCTTCACAAACCTGCTCTCCCCAGGCTTCCACACAGGTCATGGGTGTTTCTCTCTTCCCATGGGCAGCTGGTCGACCTTAGATGTTCCCTAAGGGATGGGCCTGCCCTGAAGACACTTCCTTGGAAGCCTCCTCAGCACCACACATATAAAAGTACCACAAATACTTGCCAGCTAATTAATAAGTCACGGGGCAGGAGGGATGTGGGTGCTCTTGCTGTGTTTCTCCCCAAACAATGAAGCACACCCTGAATCCTCATGTGCACATTGTCAGCCATTCTGAACCACCTGCTCTCAATTTTTCTTTGTGAAATATCCCAGTAGGATGCCTAAGCGTTGTCTCCTGTGTCTTCTACATTTCTTCCTCCTCTAAAGAGGATTTCTCCAGAGAGGTAACGGGCTGCCTCACGTCTGGCAAAGAGTGACAATGTCCAGTGTCCACACCAACAGGAGCAGGTGCCAGCCCGCCTGACACTTTGTGATCCACAGAAGGTATCCCACCCAGTGTGGAGGCGAGACCTGTGAGACCCTTCAATAACTGCTTGCTCTCAGCGGGGCCTTTGGTGCTGAGCAAGAAAGAACAGAACCTCACTCGCTGTATTTCTCACTGTGGAGCATGAGGTGACATTCAGATCTTTCAGCACTGTCCTCAGGAGCCTCCTCCTAAGATCCAGCCACCACCATCACGGGTCAGTACCCTTTCTCCCACACAAGTGAACGGAGCTGGCATAAGTCAGGCTGGGGGCCACCTGTCCCAGCATCCTCACTTTGCAGTGGCCCGTTCTTCAGCCCCCATGGGAACAATCAGTCACTTCACTGACAAATCCTGCTTATAACAGACTCATAACACTCTTCAATTTGTTCCTTCTGACAGAAAAATACTGTGCTTTTTTCATGACTGTGATGGGCGGGCGGGGTGCCAATGTGGGAGGAGACCAGCCTGCCTCTTCCTCTTCAGCTCTTTGTAGATGAGTTAGTTACTCCGTCACCAAATGCTCTGAGCAATAGACCACGTTTCTAGAAATACTCAGTTGACTTAAGGTCCATTCTTTTCATCTCCTTTTTGGTAACATAGAAGAAACTCTTTAAACATACAATTTCAGTCAAACTCCCACCACTTCAGACTCCTGTGGGTCCCTCTCAAGGGAGGACAACCATTAGATATGCCATGTGTTTGAAGTGGCTTATACATTAGGGGAAGAGCAGCAGGGTTTTCATGCTTTTTGCAGAGTTGGTCTTTTTTTTTTTTTTGGTAACTTTTTATCTTAAAATAATCTCAGTCTTATAAAAATTGGAAAAAATAGTACAAAGAACACTTACGTTCTCTTCACTAAGATTTGCCAATTGTTGGCATGTTACCACATTTACTGATCAGTTTCTCCTTCTATATAATATATACATAATTTTTTTTTGAGCCATTGTGTGAGAATAAGTTACAGACAGGATGGCCCTTTGTCCCTAAATATTTCGATGTGTGTTCCCTAAGCCATAAGGGGCATTTTTTTTTTCTTGGTACTGGAGATTGAACCCAGGGGTGCTTTACCACTGAGCTACATCCTCAGCCCTTTTTTATTTTGAGATAGGGTCTAAGTTGCTCAGGGAATTGCTAAGTTGCTGAGGCTGGCTTTGAACTTGTAATCCTCCTGCCTCAACATCCCAAGCCACTGGGATGACAGGCAATGTACCACCACACCCGGTAACAAGGGCGTTCTCTAAAAGCACAATACCATTATAAAAATCAGAACATTAACAATCACAGTACTATAATCTACAAACTTTACTCAAAATTGTAACTGACTTAGTAATATCCTGTGTGGTGGGAGGTGGGGTGGAATCCAATCTAGGATCCTGTTCAGAATGACATGCTACATTTATCGGTTATGTCCTTTATGACAGCTGCTCTCAGTCTAAATGAAGACTCCCTGACATTTCTTAAAGCCAGAAGCCTCCTAGTCACACTACCCACCCATTCAGAAATTTCATTGGCTAAACCTCTGCAGCTTACACGTGAGTCTGCCAAGACACTTTTTGAAGCATCTGGCAGACGCCTCTGGGCCTCACAGCTCAGAGTCATGAGTTATGCAGAAAGATAACAGAAGTGTCGCAAAGTTTCCTGCACAGAAGGGCTGACAGGCCTTCGACACCAGCCAGTGGCCGACTTTAAATTGTGCTCAGACTACAACACAGCGCAAGTCTGACAAGGTGGGGGGGACAGGGGAAGCAGATGAGGGCAGCAGAGCCTGCCCCAGACAGAGCTTTCCAGGGTAGGACATCTCACAGTTGTAACTGCTCGCCTGCATCCTGACCCCACTCCAGGGTCTAGCTCTATAAGTGTTGAAAATGAAGCTAGCCTGGAAACTCTTGTCCTACGGGCTTAAATAAGTCAATCCTCTGCAACGGAGGGGTGCGATTATTCTTTTACTTTCTACTTAATGCTACAGTTGATCTTAAATGTCCACCAGAGGCCCTTGTGTTAAAATGCTTGGTTCTCAGCCTGATGCTTTGGGAGGTGGTGGAACCTTTAAGAGGTGGAGCCTACTGGGATATTTTAGGTCATTGGGGGTACTGCTCTTAAAGACAATGTGGGGCCCTGGTCTTTTGTTCTTTCTCTTTAGATTCGCAGCCATAAAGTGAACAGAATTTCTCTACCATGTACTCCCACCATGACATACTACACTGCCACAGGCCTAAAAACAATAGGACCAGCTGAACGTGGGCTGAAACCTCTAAAACCGTAAGCCAAAATAAACTTTTCCTATTTTTAAGTTTAATCTCCAGTGTTTTGTTACAGTAACAGAAAGCTGACAAGCACACTTGATAAGGGAAAACTTGAGAAAACTCATTCAATCTTCCCATGCCATATAAAATAGCTGCTGCCCATACTAACCGAGTAAAGAGCTGATTTTAAGCTATGTTTTCTGTTTTTACAAACACCAACCTGTTCCAAAGTCCACTGTGGCATAGAGGCCCTGCAGGGTTCCGCACTTCAGGAAGCTTTTTTGAGCTCCATCAGTGGTGAACAGAAGCACATTGTCACCCAGATAGTGGCGGAAGCGCTTCTGCAGGAAACGCATGTAGTTAAAATCACAAGCAAAGTAGGAGCCATATTCATTTTCAACCTGCAAATTTAAAAAGAAGGAAAAATTAGGAGATGCCAATATAGCCACTCTAATGCAAGCTTTGGTTTAGGGAATATATCTAAGCACCTGCCAAGATGGCATGGCTTAATGACTATCAGAAAAATGTCCTTTCCTCAGTTGTCAAACCGACTTTTCCAAAAAGCCATTCAGCATACAAAGCAAAGCTATTTTCTACTAACCCTCCTCCACTACTTACATAAAAAAATACCAAAACAGCAAATTGGTTTATGAATTGTAGTGGTATTGTCTCATAGAATAGGTACTTTAAGCATTACACAGAAATGCCTTCCAGTGGTAGAAATATTGGGCAATGGAGAAAAATGAAAAAAAAATTTTAAAAGATCTGCTAATTCAATGATCCATAGATAACCATTGTAAGCATTTTAGAATTTAGCCTTCTAGATTTATAAACACAACACAAATGTCTTCTTTCCTCAAAACTGGAGAAAGTTTTTGAATAGGATAAAGTTTTAGGAAGGACCAATGCTGGCTATAGATGCCCCATCATTTATCCCATATCCTCAGATTGAACTTCGAGGGTGTTCCGGTTTTGTGCTTCATGACCAGTACTTGGTTTGTGCTCAATAACTTCAGTGGTTCTAAACCAGGGGCACTTCTGCCCTCTTCCGGGGAGACATTTGACAATGTCTGGAAACATTTTGGGTTGTCACAACAGGGAAGTGGGTGGTGCTAGTGGCATCCAGTAGCTAATGGCTCAACACCTTCCAGGGCACAGAGGAGTCTCACAACACAGCATTATCAGGTGCAAAATGGAGATATTGCTGAAGCATGTATTCCCAGTGAGGAAGAGAGCATCCCCACCCAGGGTGTGAAAATTGATTCTTATGAGACTAAAGAAATGTTATTCACCGGGTGCGGTGGCACATGCCTGTAATCCTAGCAGCTCAGGAGGCTGAAGCAGGAGGATGGACAATTCAAAGCCAGCCTCAGTAATCTAGCAAGGCCCTAAGTAATTCAGTGAGACCCTGTCTCAAAATACCAAAAAGAGAGCTGGAATGAAGCGCTTCTGAGTCCAATGCCAAGTACAAAAAAAAAAAAAAAAAATCGTATTCTCTTTACACAGATGTACTTATAGTACATGAACAGATATATAATATCCCAGGTATTAAAATTTCTTGTGGGGGACCAATAAGAAAAAAAAATGTCTAAAAAGGTTCTTTATGGGCAATGGAAAAAAATAAGGTTAAAAAACCTGGCTCTTGAGCTATAAGATGAATGGATTTCATGTTGAGTGAAAAATGCCCAACAATGAAAAATCCATATTAGGGGCTGGGGCTCAGTGGCAGAGCACTTGCCCAGCATGTGTAAGGCACTGGGTTTGATCCTCAGCACCATATAAAAATAAATAAATAAAGGTGTTGTGTCCATATACCACTAAAAATATTTTTAAAAAATCCATACCGGGGGCTGGGGATGTGGCTCAAGCAGTAACGTACTCGCCTGGCATGTGCGGGGTGCTGGGTTCGATCCTCAGCACCACATAAAAATAAAGATGTTGTGTCCACCGAAAACTGAAAAAATAAATACTAAATTTTTTTTCTCTCTTTTTTTAAAAAAAAAATCCATACTGGACAATCTCCCTTACAGAAAGGTCAAAACCAGACAATTAAGTTTGAGTACACACATAGGTGATAAAAGTATATAAAGAAAAGGTAGATACTGACGGCATCAAAGCCAGGGCAGTTGGGAGGGGAAGAGCACCTGGGGAGCTGTTGGGGTGCTGCTAGGTGCTGTTTCCCATCCTTGGCTGGTGGTTATGGGGGTGCCCACATTATGATACTGCACATTTATGTATGTATGTTGCATTCCATAACTTATGAAAGTTCAGAAAAACTATCCAACCCCAAAATTTCAACCTGCACAAAAATACAGAACAGATCTTTATCCAGCCCTTTTTGTTTTATCAGTATTATTTTTGTAGTTTTAGATGGACAATATGCCTTTATTTTTTAATACAGTCCTAAAGATCAGACCCAGTGCCTTACATGCGCTACACTAAGCTATAGCCCAAGTTCTCTCCCCGCCATTTTTTTTTTTTTTTTAAGACAGGGTCTTGCTAAGTTATAAGGCTGGCCTCAAATTTTCCATCCTCCTGCCTCAGTCTCCCAAGTCGCTGGGCTGGGATTCAGGCATGTGCCACTGCATCCAGTGAAAACATTGCTTTTAAACATAAGCACGAGAAACCGAGTGAGTCCCCAGAGGAGAGGTATCCAGCCTGAGGGTAGCTAGACGAGTTAGTTAAGGAAGCGTCCCTGCAGGTGCTATGGAAGGAAAAGCATCTAGCTGGGGAACAGGAAAGGATTCCAAACCACCAGTAGCCTGATGAGGCCCAGGGCAGAGTTGGAGAGCCATGAAGACGAACTAAATGCTGTTATTGTAGTTTGGATTTAAAACATCCCTCCAAAGCCCAGAAGTTAAAGGCTTGGTCACCAGCTTATGATGCCAGTGGGAGAAGTTAGGTCATTGAGGCATGCCCTTGGAGGAGATGCTGGACCCCTGACCCCTTCCTCTCTCTTGTGCTTTCTTGCTACCAGGAGGCATAGAGGCCACCTCTACCAGGTGCTCCCACCTTGAGATTCTGTGCCACCACAGGCTCAAAGCAACAGGACCAAGGACCCATGGACTGAATGAAACCTCTGAAACTATGAGTCAAAGTAATCCTTTCCTCCTTATAAGCTGACTTTCTCAGGTACTCTGTTCATTTTGATAGAAACCTGACTAATGAAGCCACCATCATTATCAGCACAGTCCCCCTCCTGAATGGTTTCATGCAGGACCATTTTCTCAGAGAGGAGCCCTCTGGCAAGACATTCCTGTTATGAGTTCAAGAAGCAAAACAGACTCCAGCAAGCATGCCCAATACCAAGATCTTTGCTGGTCAAAAAGCCATCTCGAAGGAGGAGGTATTTGGAGGAGAAAAATCTTTTTGAAATAATCGAGCCCAGTATTAAGAGAAGCTTTGCAAATACTGGCAAGTTTCTTTGTTCCTTATTTTCTGTCTTTCCGCTCTTTTAATAAGAGTTATTGAAGTGACTATGTCTGTCTCCCTTTATGATTAGGCTGCTACTCAAATGACTGGCTCCCTTTAGGATTTAGAAGTTCACAGCTAAATTTAAGGGTCAGCTCTAGCAATTAAGTCGGCTTAGAGCTTCTTCATGTATGTTCTCAGCTGTATAGCTACCAATGTTGGTTTTCTTCCCCCAAAATCTCACTTTTTCAAGTCTTATTCAATTATTACCATTGCATTATGTATCTTAAAAGAAAGAGATTTGTAGTAAATGCAAATACATGATTTTTTGCGGGGGAGGTCCTGGGTACTGAAACCAGGGACTCCTACATGTTAAGCACCATGCTCTACTAGTGAGCTGTACCCCAAATTCCTGGGTAGTTTTTTTTGGGTGGGGAGAGGTAGAGAGAGACAGAGGGGGATGGAGGGAAATGGGGAGGGAGAAGTACATTTGCAAAACAGCATAGGGTCATGGTTAGAGGCCCAATTGTCCACATGCAAATCTGAGCTCTACCACTTCCTATCCATGGGACTCCACCTGCAAAATGTCCTCATTTGTAAGAGATTGACAGTGCCTATCTCACCAGGTTGTTAGGAGGAAAGTCAATGCATGATGTTGTAGTACCTGGCATCTACCAAGTGCTTGAAAAGCTAGCAAGTAAGACCTTACTGGAGCTCTATACTGTTGCCAGTTAGAGAAAAATAAACAGAGGCATGGGAAGGCTGGGGTGAGGGCAGGGGAAATACAAATGGAAAAGGGGTTGCAAGACCCACAGAAAAAGTCAGAGATTCAAAGGAATGCTGCTTTTTCTAGAGCAGAGGTCAGCAAACTTTTTCAATAAAGGGCAGAGGGTAAATAATTTAGGCTTTGGGACTATATAGGTTTCCTCAACTACTTAGCTCTGCTAATGTAGTTCCAAAGCAGCCCTAAGCGTGGCCATGTTCCAATATACTCTGGTAAGAACAGGTGGCAGGTAAGTTTTGGCCCATGGGCCATAGTTTGCAGGTCTTCTTTCTACAGTGATTAGGAATTAGTAATATTCATCCAGTATTACACACAAAGACTTCTAAAGTTGTTGCTCTTTAAAAATAATAGGCATAAACAGGCCCGTGACGTCATGATGGATACCTCATTAACTGTATGAGGTCCAAGTTTCAGGTAAAACTCCTAAATTATTTTCACCTTGAATGTTTTCGGTAGGTGTTTATCTTTGGCTTGTTTTGGGTACAAACTGAGATGAACATCTATGTGTGCCAACCACCCCGGTGGCACTGGCTTTGCTAATCCCTCCAGAAGAGGAACATTTGCAGATCTGGATGAATCATAAGGGCACATCAAGGCTGAATCATAAGGGCAAGCCTGGTTTTCTGCATCTGGAAAACACCAGCAGTAAAGACCCCACATGGCCTCAGCAGGAAGGAAGCATTCCAAACTACCTCATTTTGACCTTAACTACTGCAAAGCTTCCAGGGCCTCCTCAAAACTCCCTGGGAACGCAGAGGAAGCACCAACCTTGTGAAGTGAGTAAATCCATTCTTTTCTACCTCTTGACCTGAAGAAACTTTTACTCACAGAAACAACAATCTTTCAGGTCTTTCCTATCCAACCTATCCACCTCTAGTCAGTTCTAGAACCATCTTGTGGGTCTGGGATATGTTCATAAACTCATGTGACCTCATGGCTGCCAGGCCGACACATGCAGAGTTGAGGAGACTAGAAAAACAACTGTTCAGATATGAAACAGGATGAACTGCCACATGTTCTTCCCAGCAGGAGGCACTAACCAAAGGATCTGAGAGTCCTCCTGAAGCCAAGTCAGTCAAGTAGAACAGCTTTTGGATAGAGGGAGACAGGCACCAGCCTCAAGACATTAAGTGGAGCCAGGCATGGTGGTGCACGCTTATGATCCCAGTGACTTGGGAGGCTCAGGCAGAAGGATCACAAGCTTGAGGCCAGCCTCAGCAACTTTGCAAGGCTCTGTCTCAAAAAAATTAAAAGTGCTTGGGGATTATAGCTTAGTGGTAAAGGGCCTTGGGCTCAATCCTTGATTTAAAAAAGAAAAAAAATTAAAAAAAAAAAAAGATACAAGTGGGGCAACCATGAAAGGTGATTCACAAAGAACTTCTATTGATATGAAAAAATGCTTTTGACGTAAGAATGAAGTGGGAAAAGCCACACAGGAAGTTGGTCATACAGCATCAACTTACTCTGTAAAAAGAAAAAAAAAAAAAGTGTGTGTGTGTGTGTGGGGGGGAGATTATGGTAAAATATTCATATCCAAGGAAATTCCCAAAAATGTGAAGTGCTTTTCTTCTGTTCCTGAGGTTTGAGGGACAGTTGTCTTTGCTCTTTCTGGTATTCTTCTGTACTTGTCAATTTAGTAACCAAGGGGCAAAAATGATGGTGGAGTGGAGGAGGGGAATTCAAGCAGGTAGAGATGAGGGGGAAAGAAGGGCAGAGTCACCTGACCAGATCTAGGGTCAAATTAAAGTCATCTGAGGTCACTGGGATGGACACAAGGAACAATATGTCCCCAAGACAGTCAACTTTGCTTTCTTCTGCAGAGTTAGTACTTGATTCCATTTTGGGGGGCATTTCCATAACCAAAGGGTGCAGAAATGGAAAGTGATTCAAGGAGAAGCAGAGACTGAAAAATGGTAGCAGCTAAAAGGAGGGTTTTCACCTGAGACGAGGGAAAAAGGAAGAAAACCCAGCTGTGCAGAGCAAAGTAAGTCTGAAACTTGATCAACCTATCTCCACACAGGAAGATGCCGCTCTCTCTCGGCTTAACCAGTACAGACTCCAGATGAATAAAAGATAAGGGGCATCCTGGGGCTACGTGCACACTGCTCTGTGAATAGCCACCTGGCCTGCACAAGAGGACATCTCCTTCCCCTGTGCATTTGGCCTAGTGGCCACCTGACCCGCTCAGCCCTCTCAATACCTCATTCCACCTTCAACTGAGGGACAAGAGAGAGCATGCTCCCTCCTCACAATAACCAGTCCCTACAACCTGTCCACAGCACCATTTGTCGAAAAGAAATCTGGTCCACACTCCCTTAGGGATTGCCACACTGCATTCCTTTGATGTTCCAAGATGCAGTTTTACATCACCTTATTCATTTCAATAAAAACAACCCTTGTAAATGGCCAACAAATGTGGTCTGACATCTCACCTAAGTGATTTCGCAAACACCAAAAATTGTTCCAGGTCAAGTGTCCCAATTTTTCATATGGAAAATATGTGCCACAGGATGGATCCCACAGTGTTCTTAGTGTTTGCAGAACTAAGAACACAAGGAAGGAGAGTGGGATCAGGAAGCTGGAGAGAAAACACAATGGCCCCTATCACACTCTCTTTTTATTCCAGGAATAACTGATGGCCTTCACAAGGCAGACTCCAAAGCATTTCAGTTCCTGCAATATTCCTGCATCCAGAAGATATAGCACGAGAGAAAGAGACAGGCTAGGAGATCAGCAGAAATAGGGTGCAATCTGGATTCTGCCACCAGCAGGGTGACCTTGGCTGACTCAACCTTTCTGAACTTGTTCATTTCAAAGACGGTGACTAGAAGAACCGCACAGCATTTTTTAGGGCATCCAGCACAGAGCACAGGCATTAAAAAACGGTAATGTGAGAGCCAGGCATGACCATGTATGTGCCTGTAGTCCTGGCTACTTGGGAGGCTGAGGCAGGAGGATCACTTGAGCCCAGGAGATCAGGGCCACCTGAGCAACAGAGAGAGACTTATTCTTTTTTTGGGGGGGGGGGGGGCGGAAATGCCAATGCCTTCCCCCAGTGCAGATAAAGTAACTATCATCTGTGGCATTACCCCTCAGAATAACAGAATGCTGAGGCTCATGTCTGCATCAGTCCTATCACTGATATAATGCAGATGGATGAAGACCTGCCCCGACCCTGCCTCCATACTCAGTTCCACGGTTACCTGCACTGTTATAATCGGCCCTCCATTCTGATAGAGCAGAGGTCTCATCTTGGGTAGAAGGACTCCCAACCATTTATCCACAGCCGCCAGGTAATCTGGACAACAAGAGAGGTTTAACACATCACACAGTGGTTGGTTAGAAGAGACGCTGATAAGGCCTTATTATAGCACCATTCAGGATATAACAAGACCAAATCGGGCCATGTTCCCGCCTCAATCACAGTAAGGCTTTTTTTCTTTTTAAAATAAAATTATATAATTAAATTTAAAATAAATTATATATTTACATTGTCAAAAGGAGATTATAAAAGCCCACACTTTGAAAATGTGTCACAGGGGCTGGGGTTGGTAGCTCAGTGGTAGAGCACTCTCCTAGCATGTGTGAGGTACTGACTGGGTTCGATCCTCAGCACCCCATAAAAAGTAAAGGTACAGTGTCCATCTACAATGAAAACTATTTTTTTTTTTAAATGTGTTATGAAGATCAATGAGAAATACATGTGGAAATTAATGATACATTAAGAGTGCAAAACAGAGGAGTGAGCCAGGCATGGTGGCCCATGCCTGTAATCTCAACTACTCAAGAGGCTGAGGCAGGAGGATTTCAAGTTTGAGGCCAGCTTGGGCAACTCACTGAGACACCCTGCCTCAAAATAAAATTTAAAAAATAGCTGGGGAGGTAGTTGCCTAGCATCTGCAAGGTTCCGAGTTTGATTCTCAGTACCACAAACAACAAAAAAGACACAGAAGAGTGATACAGTAAGAGGAAAACACATATACAACATAATATTCTAGCCTTTTATACACTAGACTTAGTCAATTTTAGCTCTGGTTATAAAGTGTCCCTTACCAACAACATCTCGGTCACCTCCACCATCCCCAGGAGAAATCAGTCTTCTGAAATTAAATGCAGCCACATGGGCTCTTCTGACTATTCAGAGCTTATAGCTAAAATAATATCTTATAGGTTAAAAAGAAAAAAAGCTCTCATTCACATCTCTCTCTGTAAAAGACAACACTGTAGCTACCAACCAATCTAGCAACACCACCCCAGAAACTCTGTCTGCCATTTTGATTAGGTTGGTGCAATCAGTGGCTGTGTCACATACAAAGCATGTAGGAAGAGAAAACACTGGAGTCAGCTGGTCAACCCCAAACAGGGCTCAATGTCAATTCTAAGAGTTACCAGTAAGATCTGGTTGAGTTGTCCAAGAGAGTAATATTTTTTTTTTTTGTACTGGGGATTGAACCCAGGGGTTCTTAACCACTGGGCCACATCCCCAGCCCCCCCTTTTTTTGGGGGTATTTTATTTAGAGACAGGGTCTCACTGAGCTTCTAAGTGTCTTGCTAAGTTGCTGAGGCTGGCTTTGAACTCACAATCTTCCTGCCTCAGCCTCCCAAATCACTGGGATTACAGGCGTGCACTACCACGCCGGGCCAAGAAAGTTTTATTCACTATGTGTTCAATGTCTGATGTAGGACAGTGAACGGCAATTAATAGACTAAATTTCAGAAGTATTTGTGCAGAAGTAGCTCAGACTTCAAGACACTTGACCCTTTCAATATCAATTATCTATCGTTCATAAATTCTCTCAAAATGTCTCTCCCCAACTTACCTGGGTCAGAAGAGCGAAGAACAATAGATTCTTTCTCTAATAACCAAGCAGGTAATCCTCCCTAGAATAGGGAATAAAAAAAGTATTTCATGAAAGGAACTTAGAGGAGAAAAAAATTACTATTAGAAGACATGGAAAAGAAATGCTTCAGGGAGAAGGAATAAGCTGTATTTTTTGGTTTATAATCTTTCAGGGAAAATGGAACATAGTAAAATTATTATCATTCTGTTTTAATGCACGTGTTGAGAATCAAGGCTCTATTTTATACAATTATTCCACTTAACATCACAGCTACTCTCTGAGGTAGACAAAGCAGATACCACTAGCCACTTCTGACAGATGAGAAAACCGAATTATGTGATTGAACCACCAAAAGAACTCAGGCTCTGACCCTGACCTGTTCCTTTCCTTCTATAGTAACAGATCCCTGTGCTGGGTATAGTCACAGGCTCCGGGTAATCCGGAATTACAATCTTATTTAAACTGCTTCAATTCACTTTGCCCAGACCTGCTGCCCGCCAGCCTCCCAGGCAGGCAGAGCCCAGTCTAGCCACACTCACCATGTCCCACTCTGCACAGATGTAGGGCCCAGGCCTCAGGATGACAAGCAGTCCCAGCTCATGAGCCAGCTGAATGAAATATTGCACATCATGGTCCTCAGAAAACCGGTACTGTCCTGGCTGGGGCTCATGAAAGTTCCAGGGCACATACCTGCCAAGACACACACAGCCTGTCCCTGGACAGTTGGCAGTCACGGAGGAGGAGGGATAGGAGAAGGGGGCATTCTTGGGACAAGAGAGGGAAGGGAAGAGGCCTGATTAGGGAAGAGTTTTCATAGCAGCGACCCAAGCCAATCAGACTTAGTGGGTACATTTGTAAGTTCCTGACCCACAAAGAAGGTCCATTCCCACGTAATGCTTGACTTCAAATATATGTGAGTGGTAACACAGGAACTTGAAAGTTTATTGAAATCCAGGGCCTTGGGCATGTTAAGCGTAGGCTCTACCACTGGGCTATACCCAACAGCCCCCATCAAAACAATCTTTAACAAAAAAAAAGTATCAAGAAAAAAAAAAAAAAAAACCTTTCAACACAGTATAAGTTTTAAAAAGTAAAATATAAAAAAATAATTACATGAACACTTATTCTAGAAAAATTGTATACAACTGTGTAAGGCCTGGAAAATAAAAATATTTGACTAATATTTTAAGAGGTACCTTTACTTGGTAAAAAAATAAATAAACTTTAAGTAGGCAAACCTCCAACACCTACATCTGGACAAAAGATTTGGTCAGGAATTGCATGAGAAGGAATAAAATAACCAAAACAACTCTCAGTTCCCTGGCTACCTACAGCCTGGGATACACAGTTAAATGTGAAACCACTCAGTCCCTTTATAAAAGTCTCTTTGATGACAGTAGCTTATGTCCTTTTCCTACAACCCCATGATTTCTGAGTTCCCTGGGACAGATAGCCTTGGTCTGGTCCACCAGAACTCAGTGCAGAAAGTATTAACAGATGAACCTGGGTTCACTCTACTAATGGCCTTAGACCCAGAAATAATGAGTGGGACTCTCCCTAACCATCTCCTCAACCATCTAAAGGTTTCCTCACCGCTCATCTTTGAAAAGTTATCTGCAATCCACATCAGCACTGCAAAACCCAGAGTGGCCAGCCACCCCAACTTTCTTCCCAATTAGTCACCAGGCAACATCAGAAGAGATGGGGTAATTCTATAGTCTGACCTTATACAATTACTCCAGCAGAATCAAGAAGACAAACTGGCTTCAGGAATCTACCTTAGCCCAAGTTCACTCTGCTAAGAGCTCAGAGAAGCCTTGGCTGCCTACACACACTCATGTTGAAATCCTAGCTAGACCTCTGACCAAAGCTATGACAGTGGGCAAATTTCAGTTTTACCAGACATAAATGGGAACAGTAATGCCTACCTCAGAGAAAGGGATCACTTGGGTCAAGTGCCCCGTATCTGGTAAGTGCCCACTGTTACTTACTTTTGCCTTTTTAAAAAATTATTATTTACATGTGACAGCGGAATGCATTACAATTCTTATTACACATATAGAGCACAATTTTTCATATCTCTGGTTGTATACATAGTATATTCACATCAATTCGTGTCTTCATTACCTTTGCCTTTTTAAGCTGATATTTATTTTACAACTTCTGGTGGCACAGTTCAAGGTTGGAAGAAGTGCTTAGTTATCTGAAGAGCCAGGCGAGCTCATGATAAGCTCCCCCCAGGAGGCCACACTATACTATTTGCCATTTCTGAGCAGTGCAATAGCTGCTCTGGGAAATGCAGTAGCACCTTCTCCAGGTGTGGGTGGTTCAGTCTCAGGTGAGAGCCAAGCGCCTTCCTACTTACGTCTGGATGGCATTCAGCCCAGCCATCTTCATCTTCAACAGCCGGTCCTTCCAGTAGAAGCGCGGCACTCGGAAGTAGTGAATGCTTCCTGAGATGTAGCGAAATGGCTTGCCATCCTTGAGGAAGCGGTCCTTCTGGTAGTCGATCTCAAATGTCCTCTTGGTGACATTCTGCAGAGAAAGAACAGGACATTAAAGAATCTCCATTTTCTGCATTTCAGAAGCAGATGCTTTGACAGCGGCAGGCGATTCCCTGTCTATTTAGTTCACATAATGTGCTGACGGAGTTCATGCTTGGTTTCTGGGCTGTCAAACAAACCCCAGCCAAGCCAGGCCCACCGTGTGTGCCCTCAGGGAACAGAAGTCTTTAAGGAAGATGCACACACAGGATTCTACAGGGCTCAGATCCCAGACGCCAGCCCTGATCAGATACGCGTGACTGGGATTATGTGTCACTGATCTGTTCCTAAGTCCTTTGAACAGCACATGCACACATTTGTGGCTACAATCTGTCTAAGTACTTGAATGAACTCAACATTAGTGTTACTGGGATCACTAAGACCTGTTAGAAAATTTTAAGTGTAGGGGCTGGGGTGTGGGTAGCTCAGTAGTGAAGTGATTGCCCAGCATGCATGAGGCCCTGGGTTAGATCCCCAGCACCACAAAGGCATCAGGAGAAATTCTAAGTGTAAAGTACAGGGTAAATAGCAAAGGATTTCAAGTTTGCATCCCTAAAGCCCCACTGTAGCTGTTGCACGGAGACCCAGAGTTACCTGGGAAAGTTTCCTCTAACCCTACAACTCATCTACAATTATCCAGGGTACCACTAGAGGAACTTTAAAGGCAACATTTTTCAAATTGTCTGCTGCAATCCAATTTGCGAGCAATAAACTCAACTTGGGTGTTGGATCAGCACCTTTTCAAAATGAGTAGAAAATATCAGAATATATCGCACACAGCAAAGTAGGTTACTGGATGAAAAGTTTGTCACCTATACACATGTGGAACTACAATCGTATGTATGTCTCCACTGGGTTGCATTGTAAGATTGTGTTTATAGCTACAACAGACTTTTTTTTTTTTTTCAGCTACTCAGGAGCTAAACGTGCCAGGATTTGAAAGAAAAGGCCTCAAAAGGGGCTGTCGGGGAGAGTGGAACACTGCACTCTGGTGGCTAGAAAAGGACTGCAACATACAGCAGGTACCCACAGAACCCGGGTTGTTAAGAATCCACCTTGGGCTGGGGATGTGGCTCAAATGGTAGCGCACTCGCCTGGCATGCGTGCGGCCTGGGTTCGATCCTCAGCACCACATACAAACAAAGATGTTGTGTCCGCTGAAAACTAAAAAATAAATATTAAAATTCTCTCTCTCTCTCTCTTAAAAAAAAAAGAATCCACCTAACGGGTATCCACTATTGGTAAGATTCCTTGTGCATCTTTAGGCTTTCAAAGGTCACAATACCAGCTTTAATTATAGTAGCACAGTCTGGGGTAGCTGTGAGGGTTGTCCTTGAAGGCATATCTGGAAGCAATTGTGAGAGTTCCAGTCCCAGATCCTACCTGGACTGAACTCCAACTGGGGAGGTAGTTAGTGTCCAAGGACTCAGAGCAGAATGAATCGGAGATAATGGAAGGCTTCACTGGGTGTGGATTACATCTCAATGAAGCAAAAACAAAATAAACTAATGGTTTTTAGCCAGGCTTAGTGGCACAGGCCTGTGATCCCAGTGAGTTGGGAGGCTGTGACAGGAGGATTGCAAGTTTAAGGCCAGCCTCAGTAACTTAGCAAGACCCTGTCTCAAAAGAAAAACTCAGGGAAGGGGAGGCTGGGGTTGTAGCTCAGTGGTAGAGTGCTGTCTCACACGTGAGGCAGGGTTTGATTCTCAGCACCACATAAAAATAATAAAAAACATGTATTTAATTGAAAACTGGAGATGTTGCTCAGCATTAAATTGACCCTGGGTGGGCTGGGGATGTGGCTCAAGCGGTAGCGCGCTCGCCTGGCATGCGTATGGCCCGGGTTCGATCCTCAGCACCACATACAAACAAAGATGTTGTGTCTGCCGAAAACTAAAAAATAAATATTTAAAAAATAAATAAATAAATTGACCCTGGGTTCCATCCCCAGCAAAAAGAAAAAAAAGTGTTGTTTTTTTTTAAAGGCAAGTGTCAATTTAATATCACTGTTCTCTTTGTAAATAAAGCTTTAATTTTCATTCAAAGGCAAGATTTCCTAAAAATACTCACAAAAAATATAAAGAATTTCTTACAGCATGTGACCCAATAGATGATTTTGAAAACATGCTCATCCTACGTGTGTAACTATCAAATAAGGGTTTTCCACAAGTTCTAGGAATCCAGCTTAGTGTCAAAATTGTCCCAAGCTCAGGGCTGTGGGTACAGTTCCCAAGTGACATGGCTCCTCCACTGCGGAGCCACGTGGCCAGCCCCACTAACCGCCCCTAAAGCAGCGGTAGAGCTACAGAGTGGTGACCAGGTCTGGCTGGAGTGCAGGCAAGAGCAGGCCACCGCAGGCTAGGGCACGCTGACCTGTACTGTGGTGGCAGCCAGTCCTGGGCCTGTACCTGTCCCCCACAGGGTACATCCCAGAATCCCCCAGAGCAATCACCATCCCATGACCTCAACGGCCCCTTCCCTAGAGACCTGGGAAAACAGAAGAGGCACAGACCTAAATGGGATTACAGGGCTGACCAATAGCACTGGCACTTTTCCAAAGCCTGATTAGCATAATTTATATCAATAGCCAAACCCTGATGGGTATAAATTTGTACCAATCACATTGGCCCAAGTGCTATATAAACCCCTAGGCAGGCACACACTCAAATGGAAACCCCTCTAGGGTCCCCTCTGCCCTACAGGAGTTCTGTTTCTTATTCACACTTGAATAAATCCTATCTTACACTCACTCATCCTCGTCTGTAGATTTCATTCTTTGAATTCACAAGAATCCAGAAAGAAGAAACTGGTGGTGAGCTGCTTGGATCAGCTACAACACTGGAGGGCATAGCTCACCATTAAGAGCTGCAACACATTTACAAATTTCAGAGGCTGGCTGTTATGCAGACCTCATCTACCAGCAATGGTGGGGAAACTCAGGTTTCACCAGAACCACATTTAAAAATCGAAAAAATGATTGCATGGATGTTAAGGACTGTAAGTTTATAATAGAGGGAAAACATCAATAGTCACATTTGGAGATTGCTAAAGCCCCCAATTATTATTCTGAAAAGTTATACAAAGAAAGAGCCTCCCTTTCACGTAAACACTATTTTAGGTTAACCAAAACCTTGACAATGGATAATTCTTCACAGAATTTCAGCTAAGAACGGCAGAAGGAATAAAAGAATGTGAAAATACTCTTAACATTTAGTAAAATGAATTTAAGCTAGACCCTGACAGTCTTGAGTTGTTACTGCCATGACTGCCCCAAGTAGCCCCAGCCAGTTTTCTTTAGCTTCTCTGCATGCTATAAACACAAAATCATTAGAGTGGTAGGTGCCCCTAGCTCTGTGAGTGCCGTGAATGTGCCCAATATTCTTGATATTAGCTTCAGATAAACCAGGTACATTAGGGCTTGGATGAAGTCACTTTTGACCTGACCATTTTATACCCTCCTCCTCCTGACCCAAATCACAGGATGCATTGGACTTACTGCCACCCAGGACCATGATTCTGTTAGTCTCCGACAAATTGCACTTTGTACAATCTTGGATCTGTCTCTCTTTCTAAGGTTTCCTAGCACTTAGTTCTCATGCACTGGCCCTGGATTTGACCAGAACCCCTCTGCTCAATTTTAGCCTCAGTAAAAGGAGAACATAAGATCATGTACGTCTCAAGTTTTGATTCAACATGAAGTACGTAGTCCCACTAGGAAGTGTTTCTCACTATTGAGCCTAAATCACAATTGAACCTAGATCTAATGATACCATACAGAATCAATAAGCCAAACCCAAGATGTGGAATATTCTAAAAACCCAATGATACTGATCCAGTTGCTGCAATAAATCAATGTGATTAAAGGCAAAGAAAGGGAATATTAGAAAATAAAAAAGAATTTAAGAGGAATAATGACCTGGTAAAATCTGTAAATCTGGTTTGGATCCTAACAAACCACAAAAACAAACCAATGACACCGATATAGGAAAAATCTGAACATACATCCAGTATTAGTATTAGAAGCATTATCATTAATTCTGTAACTACTCAAAAAAAAATGGCATGGAGACTATCATTCAAAAAAAAAAGTTCAAGAGGAATATGGAAATAGTTATGAGGAGAATATTCAGACATCTAAGAAATGCCTTAAAGTCTAATAAGCCAGCAGAGTGCCGTGGTGACTCAGGAGGCTGAGGCAGGAGTATTATTAAGTGCAAGATCAGCCTCAGCAACTTAGCAAGGTGCTATGCAAAATAGCAGGACTATGTCTGAAAATAAAAAATTAAAAGGGCTGGGGATGTAGCTCAATAGTAAAGCACCCCTGGGTTAAATCCCCAACAAGAAAAAACAAAGTAACAAAAACCAAAATGATAGGCCGAAAAGAAAGAAAAAGAGCAAAGAAAAAAGTGGATAAGTTCAAGTTGGTGTTAGGGAGAGACCTCTGGGATTCTATCTGGAAAGCTGTATAATAAAAAATTTATTAGAAACATTTGATTTACCTTTACCCCATAATTTTCTCCATACTATACCTATAAATACACAATTTGTTTTTTACTGCAACAATGTTTAAACCAAATTGTCCTTCAGAATAAGAAGACCTAAGAAACAAAAACATGCTCAAAGACTTATAATAATAACTTTTCTTTTTTTAATATTTATTTATGTATCTTTAGTTTTTGGTGGACACATTATTTTGTTTTTTATGTGGTGCTGAGGATTGAACCCAGTGCCTCATGAGCCACAACCCCAGCCCCCAAAATAATAGCTTTTCTGGTAACAGCAAAAAACTGGAAACAACTCAAATTTCTACAATAGAAAAATGTGTAAACTGTAGCGTATTCATATGATGGAACACTACTCAGCAGTTAAAAAAAAAAAAAAAAACAACAAATCATGGGACTGGGGATAGCTCAGTTGGTAGAGTGCTTGCCTCACACGCACAAAACCCTGGGTTCAATCCCCAGCACCAAAAAAAAAAAAAAAAAAAACTAC